AAATAATCAAAGTACGAAATTGACCAACTAATTTAGTAGACATCCTGTACTTTTTCCTTATCAAAAACCAGAAGGATATTTTTACAAGTAAAGTAACCTAATTTTATGCCAAGTATTTTAATGATGCACTGTATACCAATTAATAAATCCATCTTAAATATAAAGCCATAACGGACTATCTTGCGAGGTTACCTCGCAGAATTAATATTCCGTTAAGTTTTATTGAAAGTACACTGCCAACTTCTTACAGTGGAAATGAGTTATACAGATTAGTTTTGATGTATAAAAATGTGTTGGTTATATCTATATAAACCATTAATAGCCTCCATGCTATGACTATCGTTTTGGCATGTTGACTAAGATAATCGTTTTCGGATCAGAAAGTACCTAGTTCTAATCTTCCTTTATTGATGAGTCGGCCGTGCAAAGAGAACCGCAGCAGTCGTGGCGCCATCTATCCACCACAAAGGCAACCAAACTGTCTCACACACGATGACGGAACCCACAAAGCCGTCACACACGTGACGCAACTCTCAAAACCTTCACAGTCAAAATGACGCAACTGCTCACAAGCTCGTCATGAATATGGTATCTTTAATTCGCCTATTCGCCGAATCACTGGCAGGGGAGTAGCGTGGAGGTGATATCTATTTAAACCAGTAACAGCCTCCATGATATGACACGATCATTTTGGCATGATGGCTAAGATACTCGTTTTGGGATCGGAGGGTACCCAGTTCTAATCTTCCTTTAAAAATAAGTGAGAAGTATTTTTATTTCTTCGGTTAGCTGAGTTTCTCATGAACAGTTGGAACGGTTTCATTCAGCTGGTTATCAATTCCTTACATAGACTCAGTTCTTTACTTACTTTAATAATAATCCTCATCGTGAGAATTTCTTGGAACAAACTTCCTTTAGTGGCATATACGATTTGCCCATTGAAGAATGTAGGTTCCTCCTTAGTTGAGACCCCGAAGGATTGTGTCAGCTAAAATTTGGAAAAGTGTCTGAAAGTAAGTGTATTTTGGTTACTTAATTAAATACTTGACCTTTCTCGCATACCCTGAGATAGGGTAGTACTAAAGAAATATAGTAAAATTGATTATTTGTTTTATTATTCATTATCATTACATGATTTATTGCCATGGGTAACCATAATCCCCCAAACTTTTGAATCTTAACTACGTATACTGTATGAAAAATCTGCATAGAACTGTTATTCTCTGTCATGTTGTAAAAACTTCTTCCTATCTTTTACAGAATTACTATTCTTTATCAGTTTCAGTATTATTATTGTTGTTATTGTTAATATGAATATAATCATTAAATAATATATATATATATATATATATATATATATATATATATATATATATATATATATATATATATATATATATAATAGATCCAATCGGGGTAAAAAAATATATTGTTAAAATTAGGTTTTTGAAAGATAATTATTTAAATTTAACTTTATGTTTTGAATTTAAATTTAATAACTACATTTCTGTGCACTTTACAGGAAATAAATTTCGAATTATAGGTTCCAACAAAGGTCCTAATTGGAAATATTTATTATATTGCAGTTACTTAAGGAGTTTTCCATGTTAACCGAATATATTAAAATTCTTTTAAGCTAAAATGTTTGATACTATTTCATTTTAACAATTAATACGATTATTAAAATATACAAAATATTATGAAAGATTTATTGAGAAATAACACTGACAAAAAAATTTCATGAAGAATACAGTTTTGTCTAAGACTTTTGTTAAACGCTTCAATATTTTTAATGAAAATTCAATGCATTACCCTAAGTTATATGCCAATAGAAAGTCAAAAAGGTAAGTAAAATTAATTGCATTTTATCCAAACAAAAAATATGAAGAATGCACATTGTGCTGTGTATATCGATAATTTTATGATTATTTTTTCTTGATTTTCAATTACATAAAATTAAGACATAAAATGTCTAAAATAATTTTAGGCTGCATCTAATTTAATTCTTAAAGAATTTATCGTTTCAATTCAACTTGTATTAGGATCTAAAACGCCTTATATCAATAAATATGCAGAAAAGAAAAACATATTCGATCTTTATTAGTACTTTCCTTTTTAGCTTAGAAATAGTTTTATACTTATCATATGCGTCTAACTATTGTTTATGAACTAAAAATATTTTGTTGGTTACATTGTATGTTATGGAAGAAAAAATAATTACGAATAAAATACGTTACATTCCCTTTCTTGTATCATTAAATTATTTGTTTGTAATCCATTGGATTTAGCATGCTTCTTTATAAGGATTAAAAATTTTAATGAAGAAAACATAGCGTATAATATTACGAAACAACCCTATCACCTCTCTTTATATGGGTTACTTGTTTTCCTAAATGACAACAAATGCAATTTAAATGTCCAAACCATTAAGTTTAAATTTGGTATCGTATGTCCTAATAACCTTGATATGAATTTAGCTGATTTCTTTTTACATTAAATAATCAATAATAGAAGCAAAGAGAGAGAAACTGTCCATTCAAATATCAATAAAAAATGGAGTATTTAAATATAAAAACAATTTTCAGTAATCATTAAAATAATATTGCCCTGCAGAACTAAAATTCTTTTTCTAATAAAATATCCTCCATAGCAAAAAGGAAACATTACTAAAGTATAATATTTAAGAAAATTAAATCTTTAAAAATATCAAATACTTCACAGATTTTAATTAAATTCCTCGATTTTATAATAATGTATTGAAACGCTTAATTCCCTCTTTTTTAAATACAAACTTATTAAATTTATTGTTGCTTTTATAGAAGTAATGTGAAATGTTTCCTGAACTATATATAATGTTAAATGGAAAAATTAACTAAAGAAAATGTTTTCTTAAAAGTATTAACCTTTTAAAAAGGCTCATTATTTTCAGAGGTAACTGTTTTCTTTAATGGCTTTGGTGTATAATAATATCTTAGGAAAGAAAAACAGGACGCGACATTATTTGAAAATAAAATGCTTTAGCAAAATTTTTATAATTCTTAATAATAAGGAAAAAACGTTTTGGAATATATTTCAACAAAGTAGATTTATATAATAAAATGTGAATAACAACACACACTATAGAAGTAACCATAAAAGTAAAAAACAATCAAAGAAACTTTCCTGTTTATATTACCTGGTGATTTTACGGAATAATTTAATTAAAGATTAAATTAATGACATTTTCAGAAAAATTATGCTTTTAAGAATATATAAGATATGGAATATCAAATTTCTTGGATATTGTTAATTACTAAAAGTATGCCAAATTGTTGACATATTTTTATTTGTAATGGTAATTTTTCAAATAGCATAAGAATTTGATGTCATTAAATGTGTTAAAAAATACAGAACACACACACACACATAATAAACATATTAGAATTTCCGGTACTTTTCCGTTTCACCGGTGCAGTTGATTAAGTCGCCAAAAGTGTAAACGAAAAATAACAAAGAAAAATTCTATCGGATATCATATTAAAAATGTTTTACAATACTTCTCGTAGCTATGTGGCCTTTTCTCTTTCGATGAGTAAGTATAAAAAATGTGTGAAAAAATATAGTATGTGTATGTAAATTAGATTTCGTGAAATAGGATTATCAAATATTTTTTTACGTTTTCTTTAAGTATTCCAATCTAGTATTATTCTAGTATTATTAACACTTGGTATCATTATGAACACTAATGCAAATTATTCCAAAAGAAAACTGTAATTATTTGCCTTTCTGTGTTTTACCCAGCATTATAAGATATATTTACAATAATTGATTTTTATTTCTTTAGAAACTCGGATTCTTATTCAAAGCGAAAATATCCAACTACTTTACCTTCGAAATGTTTTAAGTACAAAAAGTATATAAGCTTATAAAATAACTTAAAATGTGTTATAGAAAATTTACTAAAATAATAACTGTTTTTTCATAATTAATTCATGAATCTCACAATTTTTTAAGATGCAGTGTGTTTTTCATATTTATTTAAAATGTAATATGGATGAATAGAGGATTTCGTTTTAAATCTATTTCAGATTTATTTACCGAGTCTTTTTTGCAACGAACTTCAAAGTGAGCCACGATCGAAAACCTATAACAACATATAACTCAATTTTTTAATTTTTGCTTCTTGCTGTATAAAAAATTTGTTGGTGCAATAGTAATAACATAGAACTCGATTAATAGTCTAATGGTCAAGGTAACAAACTCATGACTAGCATGTCATGAGTTTGAGCCTAGTACCGCTGAAGACCCACCGTGCAGAGGGATCTATGCACGTTAAAGATATCGAGGCTCAAATTTCCTCCCATTGATATGGTGGAGACGCTAGGAGAAGGAGTGCCACCTCAGATGTCGTCCTCGTCACTTGTGACCGTGGTTCAAAATTAAGAGGTCTCTCACCAAACCCGAAGTAGTAGTTGAATATATTGCAACGTTAATATTCACTCACTAACTTGACAATATAGAGATGATAACGGGTTAATATATCGGTGTCTTGATATTATCAAATTACATATGAAATCTCATTGATACTTCTCTGTTTATTGACAGTTTATAACGCGTAATGTATTTCTCCACTTCTTCTAGTTAAACTAACAAATTATTAGTGTTATTAAGATACATATTTGTATTTCTTCCTATGCCCAGAAATTCTTTGAACACGATCAGACATGTTCTTTTCCAAAAAAAAAAACTTAAGTTGATTTCTACTTAAGAAACAAATGTCGACAATTTTTTTATTTTAGGTTCTTTTTATTAAATAACTACAATTAATACAAATATGCATATACATATGACAGAATCACAATATTAAGTGGCAAAATAGAAAGCGATTTTCCTCGCAATTTTCCATTTTATATATGGTTCTTTACAATTATTTTTCGTTTGTTACTACTTATTCATTAATTGAATTTAATTATTCTAATAAAATAGTATAGTAAAAACTAATTACATTCTCGGAATTAGGCCATCCCAGATGGGGATTATAACCCACGATTTTTGGAGTAAAAGTCCAATGCGCTATTCAATGCGCTACTGACATAAAAAGCAATTTTACTTTTTTATAAAGGGTGTTTTGTTTAGAGGTATAGAACTTTAAATTGCAATAAAACAACTATGTATTATTCGATTGACATGAATCTTTTTTATTCGAAAGATAATCTTGTGACATTACATTTTAAATATGATTTCTGGCATATGACTGCCACGGCTGTCTCGGATGTAGTCCAATCTGGACGTCTAATTTTCGATGACTTTTTCCAACATTTGTGGCCGTATATCGGCAATAACACGGCGAATGTTGTCTTCCAAATGGTCAAACGTTTGTGGCTTATCCTCATAGACCAATGACTTTACATAGCCCCACAGAAAATAGTCTAGCGGTGTTAAATCACAAGATCTTGGAGGCCAATTCACAGATCCAAAACGTGAAATTAGGCGATCACCAAACGTGTCTTTCAATAAATCGATTGTGGCACGAGCTGTGTGCCATGTTACGCCGTCTTGTTGGAACTACAGCTCCTGGACATCATGATCGCTCAATTCAGGAATGAAAAAGTTAGTAATCATGGCTCTATACCGATCACCATTGACTGTAACGTTGTGGCCTTCATCGTTTTTGAAGAAGTACGGACCAATTATTCCACCAGCCCATAAAGCGCACCAAACGGTGTTTCGACATACACTTGTGGATTAGCTTCACTCCAAATGCGGCAGTTTTGTTTGTTGACGTAGCCATTCAACCAGAAGTGCGCTTCATCGCTAAACAAAATTCGCTTATGAAAATCGGGAACAACGGCAATCTCGTTTTGGGCCCATTCGACGAATCTACGCCTTGCCTGATGATCATTTTGATGAATTGCTAAACAAAACTGAGAATAAATCACTTGCCAGTTGTTAAATCTGTCGCCATCTTGGAAAGTAATGCCAACTTAAACTTCTATACCTGAAAAAAACACTCTTTATATGGTGTTGGACTATTATTTTTGTTTCTTACTATATATTCATTAATTAAATAGAACTAATGAATTAACATGAAAAAACTGCATTACCATCAATTGTCATCCATTACAAGTTTTAAAAAATGTATTTCAGCTTGAGTAGATGAATGAAAAGTATTTTATTAATCATTGAATATTTGAACAAGATATATATAGAGAGAGAGTGAACTATAGGAATAAGAATTGAAAAAATGAGGGCCAAGTTACGATAAAAAGACTCGTTACTTAATTATCGTGTTCATAACATTAAAATGTTTTTTGACTAGAACTTTAATATTCACTTACTCACTCATTAAAATCCCTGGCAAGCAGTTTGTTCTGCAACAAAAACAATATATTTAATTATTTTTTAAAAAAAAATAAATAATAAAAAAAATTGTCACATTTTATAAGCTATTGTACATCCAACTGATACTATCTATATTTTAAACGGGTAATATTTAGTTAGGAAAGAAAAAATCAGATGAAGCAAAAGTTATCTTAAGGTAAAGATAATACCTCCTCTTACATTATCACTTTTATATTATGTATATATTCAAATTTAACAAATTTTGTGTAATTAAATTAAAAAAATATTTTACTTATATTTCATTTAATGCTAATTCTAATAGTTACGCTCTTAAGTTTATTAGTTAATTAAATTAATAATAATAATAATCTGTGGATGCATAAGAGCTCAACTGATGCGCAATATGAATTAAAACCATCTCATTAGCAAATGAATTCAAATGGAAGAGATGACAGTAATAGGAGTTTAAATATTGTATTTCTGCCTCATTAACTTGAAATTAATGTAAGTATTATCCTCAATTATTTCTATGAGACTGCATCCCTTGACGGATAATTAACTGAATACTTTCACTGAATATGCACGTAAGGGAATTCACGCAACTGCAGTACAATTCATTGAAGCACCTAACAAAACATTTGACGCAAGTGAAAAAATTCCTCAAATAAATCATTTCCTTATGCAAACAATTTAAAGGAAAGTTCATTAATGGGAAAAGCTATTCCATACGTACAAATACAAATCTCTATTCCAATGGAAAGAAAATAATAAAAATATTTAGACGTACAATTGAATTAATGAAACATTTTAAATTTATTCACCTATCATTCCATCATTTATTATTTATAATCACGTGTCACATATTTTTCTATTAAACAGTCAATGTTCATACATTGTAAATAATAAAATGTATTGATAATCCCGATAGAGTTTCAGATTTTAACAGAATATCGGCTTATTATTTGATGGGCTGTTAGTTCAAGCCTTTCTTCGACGAAATCGGACTACAGAATAATTGAGGCTGTACTTGTGAATAAATTACGTATTGTTCAAATGTAACCTACATTTAAAAGAATTAAACAATAAATTTCGTTAAATGCATGTAGATTCTTAAATTAAATTCTATATTCATTATTGTCGCTTAAATATGCTTAATTAAAAAAATATTTTGATTTGTATTTTACTTGATACAACTTTCTAAATTCTAATCAAAGAACTTCGAAAAAATGTTATTTTTACTTTGTAAGTAACTTTCAAGTAGAGAAAAATAACTGATGTAATAATTTGCTTCGACAAAATTTACAGTTTATATGGGATAAAAAAGCTTCACCACATATTTTTTGCAAGATATACAGGATGCCACGCTGAATTATTTTATTTAAAATCATTCTAAAGTAGCATGAATCTAAACTGGTGTAATTTATTATTTGTAAAAAATTTTAAATAGATTTTTAATCCCTTCAGGACCGCGGAAAGGAGAAAGAAACGTTTCCCCAGGCCCGCTACTTCCTAGAAAATGCGCGCACACGGAACCGGGTGAATTTAGCTGCTATAAGCCTAATTTCGCTTAAAAATTCATATTAAATCTTTAATGCAATCAAATGCGCTAAAATTAGCAATTTACTGTCATTGATAATATCTGAATATACAGTGCATATATTTTCGCTATATTTAAAAAACAACCGCGAATTTCAAATAAAATATTTTCATTTTAATAAAAAGAAATTAGTCTTTTCACTCCTTTCACCACGATGATTAAAATGAAGTAGACGTAAAACATACAAAATACTGTCTGGCAAATCCCTATTGGTAAATTTACTCTCATATAAACTTGATGTGGCTTGAACTGATTCTTACAGATCTTTTAAATAACAGCTAATATAGTTTTTATTTATTTTTAACTAATTGTCATATTTCTTATAATTTTATTAGTATCATATTAGTATTATGTTTTCTATTCTTCTGGTTATGAACTCTGGTTGCGATAGTATCGAAAAATAATCGTTTGTTTTTACAAAACTAAAAATGAGTCAGTAAGAACAAACTATTCTTTTTTGTTAATCGTTTTCGTCAAAAATGAGTCATTGCGTTTGTTCTATAAAGATATGCTTTTTAAATGCCGTTCAGTATTAAAATTATTGCTTCAAATACGAACTAGAAATAAAATAAACACTGAAAATATTATTATGAATGGCTGATGCGCAATAAAATAATAAGCTTTCCATCTTTTTCCAACTTAGTCAAAATATAAACAGAAATCCAGAGTGCAATAAATCATGAACCTTTAAAAGGCCAATTCTCTCGAAAAAGCTAAACATGCACAATTTCTTACATTTGTAAATATCCCGGATCAAAGTAAAAAATAAAAAAATCAACTCGAAGCCGAAAGTACATATTGAAGTTCAAAGTTTTGTAAAACATTATTCGAAAAAAACGGACTTTAAACGCCATCTGATGCTTTGTTAAAACTAATGTAAAAACGTTTCCGACTCAGAAATAAAGCTCATTAATAATATAGCTCTATTATTTAAATAGAACTCATGATTCTGAATACAATCAAAAAATATCAAAGTACCTAATTCTGTAGCTGATCTCCACTTCCATGCTTCAGCATGGAGATGGAGGAGTTGTTGTTTCACATTAATTAATGGGATATAATTCCTCATTTTATCATTTAGATACTATTATGCGCCCTTCAAAACCAAAAATCTTGAATTTTCTGTCATTCCAATCAATTTGCCTTTAATTTTGAATTTTCTGAAACTCAATCCCAAGAATCTAGTTGGATTAATGAACCATGAAGGTGGAAGTGTTTCTGCATGGGGGTATAAATCAGCTTCAGAATTAGATAATTTGGTATTTTTTACGGTATTATGAAGCATGAGCTCTATTTTAATATTTTAAAGAGAAATTTTAAATTATCCGTCCAAAATTTGGATATTAGGAATGACTTCATTTTTTAACAGAATAAGGACTCCAAGCGCACTGCTCTCAATGTACGGCGCTGTTGTCTGTATAATTATTTTACCTCCTCTCATTTAATACCTCCTCAGTCACTTTATTTAGCCTTGTAGAATGTATTTGGTGAGAATTTGATTTTTTAAAAAAAAACATGACATATTAACACATAATGAGAAGTAAAAGCATTAGTCACCGAAGCATGGAGGAAAATCGATGCAGAAACTACAAAAAACTGATTAAATCTATACCAAGACGTTTAAAAGTTGTTGTGGACACTAAAATATATCCTATTAAGAACTAAATTAAGAAAAAAATACAATATTTAAAGCTATGTTGAGATTTTTATAAAGTGTATGAAGACTTTTGTGGCGTAATTTTTAGTAGCTTTTTGATTATTAATTTTTAAAAATAATAGTTATACTATGTTTAAAAATTAATTACGTCATTCCATTAAAAACAAGTTGCAGATATCATAAAAAAATAAAAATTCCAAAATATTAGTTTTTATTAGTATAAAACATTAAATTTTATAGGAAATTGCAAGTGTACGAACACTTTTGTGGCCTACTGTATATGATACCGTAGGCTCTGGAGAGCGAAACCCGTGATCACGTATGTGTGATCCAAAACGGTTTTATCTTTTATATGCATTATCTGTAACATAAAACCCTCTTGACAGATAGTACGTTTATAACTCAAACAACTATAAAGCATTGAAAATCAACGAACGTTAGAAGGAATGAAAGAACTCAAAAAATTCAATTAAAATATCTTTTCTAATTACTTATTAAA